CCAAAAGTTGGTTAAATGACCATGGTGTTGGTGTGCTTGACTGGCCAGCAAACTCACCAGACCTGAACCCCATAGAGAATCTATGAGAGAAACAAGAGACCAAAAAAATGCAGATGAGCTGAAGGCCACTGTCAAAGAAACCTGGGTTTCCATACCACCTCAGCAGTGCCACAAACTGATCACCTCCATGCCACGCCGAATTGAGGCAGTAATTAAAGCAAAAGGAGCCCCTACCAAGTATTGAGTACATGTAGAGTAAATGAACATGCTTTCCAGAAGGCCAACAATTCACTAAAATTGTTTTTTTTATTGGTCTTATGAAGTATTCTAATTTGTTGAGATTTTGAATTCGTGGGTTTTTGTTAAATGTGAGCCAAAATCATCACAATTAAAAGAACCAAAGACTTAAACTACTTCAGTCTGTGTGCATTGAATTTATTGAATGAATGAATACACGAGTTTCTCAATTTGAGTTGAATTACTGAAATAAATTAACTTTTCCACGACATTCTAATTTATTGAGCTGCACCTGTATATTAGCAGACTAATGTAGGGAATAGTGACCGAGGGAATAGGGGGAACTTTTTGAACACAGCATAGACCTGGATTAGCTGGTTCAGGTGTGTTTAACTAGGGTTGGAGCTAAACTCTGCAGGACAGTGGCCAACCAGGAACCATTATTAGCTAAATACATTAATAAATGATAATTGACACTGGACATGAATAAATACATAAAAGTGAAACACAAAATAGAAACAGGAAATAGATGTATTGAAGACCACGTTCCAATGAAAAGAGAACACTACATTCACACGAATGTGAATTCTAGTGCAAGGAGCGGCTTTTGGTGTGCAGATAACTCTTGCCTGAGCATTCCAGAGGTTCCAAAATGACGTAGGCCTACATGTCACCGAATGATACAGTGGAATGGAGTGAGTGCTCATTTTTGTGTCTGTCAGCTGATAGTAGCAAATTTATAGAGGTCAAAAAAGGACAGCCTAGTGGCTGTAGACCAGGGGTGCAAAACTCAGTTCCTAGAGCACCACAGCTCTAGAGCTTAGCTTCAACCCAATTAAACACACTTGATTCAGCTAATCAAGTCCTTCACACTTATTGTGTGTTAATGTGTGTTGGAGCAGTGTTGGAACTAAACTCTGCATGGCTGTGACCGAAACGGCCCCCATACGCTTAAATAGGATATTGTTTGAAGGGTCAGCCATTTGTAGTGGTGTCCAAATCTATAGTGCACTCATTCAATCCCATAATGCATCACAATAAAGAGTGTATGTATATGTACATTCCCTATTAGCGGCTGTTTCTATGGGCTGCTATATGTAATAGTGATGAGAAGTTTGGATCATTTTACCGACTCTGACCTTTGAGTCTCGTTCAGCAAAATGAACAAATCTTTTTTCGACTCATTTCGTTCATTTTAACAAAATATAATTCAAATGTTACGTGTTACTTCCCTAATATGTCTACTACTTACGCAAACATTGATCACACTACAAACAATACAAAACTGCTATAAGAAACAGAAAAGATTAATTCATTGTTTACCTGAGTCTTCAGTCACCACCTCTTATCTGACAAGTCTTCGACAAACCCGAAGACTCGAGATGAACTAATCAATTCTCTTTCCGGCTCAGACTGCATTGGTTAAAGCTTATGGGGCTGTCACATGATGAACGAACGACTCGGAAAAACCCGAAGACTCGGAACAGGTGAACTACTTGACTAATTCCAGTACAGAACCTATAGGATGTTGCGCATGCGCGACTGAACAAATCACTCCCCGAGACGACTCGTTCTTCCCGAATCACATTAAAGATTCAAGAACAACCCAACACTAATACGTAAGCCGTCCACCATTTTGGAATGATCAAAGCCGGTCCGTGAACTCTCTAGAGCAGGGATCCTCAAATCTGGACCACGAGATCCACTTCCCTGCAGAGTTTAGCTCTAACCCTAATCAAACACACCTGAGCATGTTAATCAATGCTAATCAATGTCTTTGGGATCATTAGAAAATCACAGGCAGGTGAGTTTGATCAGGGTTGGAGCTAAACTCTGCAGCGCATTGGCCCTCCAGGGCAAGATTTGAGGTACCCTGCTCTAGAGCAAGTTGCCTGTGTGTCTGCGACTAATTATACGCAGATGGCTTTGCTAAACTAACACAATACAACAAGACAAAACCATTAGCTAAGATGACATTTAAAAGGCATTATACCTGTAATATTGAGATTAAAAACACAAATTAACACCTTCTTACCCATGAAATGTTATCCAGTTTCTTCACAACCAGATGCAATGTTGCAACATCTCGAAACTCATTGATTTTTATTGTGAATGATAACACATTGACCGCTCCAAGATGGCGGACGCGTCAACGTGTCTGGAGCGGTCAAATGTGACGTCTACCTATATATATCTATGGAGTGTGTACAACCGATAATCAGGGTTGCCAACTCTCCCGCTTTTGGCGTGAGACACACGCTTTTAGGCTCTGTCTCACGCTCTCACTCTGCACCATGTAAATCTCACGCCAAATTGGCAACCCTGATTATGATATGAAACAAAGTCTCAGCTGTCAAATTTTGTACGTTTTAATACTAAATTCTAACAATAAATACCGTTTTGGCGCACTTAAGGCGTAAATTGTCAAATTTAGCGCTTCAGTTAAAGCCAGAGGTATTGAAAAACAGAGTTGCGACAAGCTGATCTTGCCGGCGTCGCCGCACGGTCACGCGATTCATAGACATTTTAAAAGTTAATAACTTAGGCCTAAATCCTTTTTTTAATGATACTCGCATAAAACGAATGCAAGCAAATACTGAATTTAAACCAAGTTTAAAATGGTGCTGAAAAGGCAAAGTCAACAAGATTTTATACCCTTATATTTACAGTAGGCTATATACACATGAATTGATATTGCATCGAGATCGAAATCCCCCCCCCCCCCCCCCCCCCCCCCCCCCCGCCAAAAAATATCACTCCAAGCTGAACTTAAGTTGGCAACCCTGCGATGAACATAAGTATAAGTAATAGCTTAACCATCATTAAAAACAGGTGGGAAATATGCAAAATGCCTTTTCATATCAAAGTATAATAAGAATGAGGAAGAACACTGTTATGTGTTTCATATCAGCAACAAGAGTTTCAATGTCAGATAGTTATCATACAGCTGATAGGCTTACCTGAGATTGATAGATAAATGATTGACTCTGAGGGAGAGCATGTTCATTAAAATGTGCATGTCTCCACAAACTTGAATTTCAAGCATTTTTATGTCACAAGGACAAAGCAAAAGTGAAGACTAGCAATGAACTATTCATAAGATCACCACATGAAAACAACCACAAGTTATGACAAAAAACTTTAATCTGTTGATTTCCCAGGTTACATGATAATTATCAATAATAATAAATGTCTTGGTTACATGTGTTACACTTTAAAACAGCCATTAGAATACATATTAGCTTTCCGCTCCATGATTCGGTCCTTGTTTGTTTCCAAACAGCTCATCTGACAGTCTTCCTAAGATCCAGGAGCGTCAATACAAGCTGCTATTTCATCTTGACCCACATTTATTTATTTTTTTAAAGTTCAGCGGTCAAGTGACCATAAACACCCTGTTATTGGAATAAAATCGACCACTATCCCATAGTTTCACATCTAGCACCAGAGTGACTTGATTTAACAGAGACATTCTCTCTGTACCACATATCATCAGCTGCAATATCAACACTGAAATGCTACATTTAAATGTTGTGAAGTAGATTTTTTGGTGGTACTCTAGCCTGTGTGAAATTACTAAGCGATCATACTTGTTTTTTGTCCTCTTTTATTGGAAAAGCACATGGGAATGGAGTTTATTTTGAGAGTTGTGTAGTGAGTGCACATAATCCACAGTCATGATTTGCATCAGAACCAGTTAGAATAGTTTTCAGTGCCCTTGAAATCACATAAAACACAAAATTATCATCTACACAAGCTACAGTGGTAATACTTCAGAACATAAAAAAGACAAACAAAAGGAACGAAAATATCTTGCTGATTAGGATGTGTTAATTTGTAAGTTGTAAGTAGTAATTTAAAAAAAATACATTTTAACATAACATCAGAGGACTAAATGCTTGAATTAACAATTTTACAAACCAGTTCATAAGTTACATCATATAGCTTTGAGTTAGACATCATGCTGAGGTGTGTGCAAGAATATGCTGTATGTTAGAGAGGTTATAGCACTGACATCCAGTCAAGAGCTCACAAACATGAGAACGCTTCTTCCACACTGTGAATTCTAGCTAAATGAGCTGCTTTTTTATGTGCAGATAAGCTCCCGTCTGAGCATTCCAGAGGTTTTAAAATTACGTGCATGTCACGACACAATGGAACAAAGTGAGCACACATTTGTGTGTCCGTCACTTTGTTTCTGTAGCTGACAATAGCGAGATGTTGTAAAGGTCTAAAGAAGGTCGGGCAAGTGGCAGTAGACCGAGTCAAGCAGCGTCTGGCTTGCTTCTTGACTTTTCACTCCTGCAATCTCGAACAAGCAGTCCAGCTTGTCCTCTGCCATCGGGATCTCCTCGATAACATGGAGCTCCTCAGGGTTGAGAATGTGCAACATATCGTCAAAGATGGGCTGCAGTTCACAGGGGTCCAGACGCACCTGCCGTAGCACTGTGTCCTTTTTCTCTGTGGGAGAGAAGATTGAGCGTCGCCATTAATAAAATAAATTCTTAAGGAATTATTATTCATGATATTCTTTGATTAAATACTAAAAGAAAAGTGCAAATTTAAAAGAAAAATGTCACATTTAATAGGAGATGGTGTGATGAAAAATCAAGAAGAAAAAGTAACATTGTATATTTCAAATTGTTGAACAAAGCATCCACAAGGGGGCAATATATTTGCTTTTACCATATTAAAAGTGCAAACACTCATTTAATTTATTTCATACAAAAAATATAAAAAACAAATCATAAATATTAAAAATATTTTAAAATAAAACATTTATCAATCTATCCGCACAAACACACACATACTCGCATGTTTATTGTTATGTTATTTCAAAATTTTAATTTCAATGTAATTTTAATTTTAATTATGAGAACGGAATAAAATAAGACTAAATATTTCAAAATAAAAAATGTAAAAATATTTAAATATCCACACACACACACACACACGTGTGTGCATATATGCATGTTTATTGTTATGTATTGTTATTTAAAGATTTTACTAATATGAATTAAAATTGCTCAATAGCATTTAATAGAGCGATTTAAATTGAATTTTTGAAATGATTGAACACAATGCAGGAGCATAAAGCATCCACAAGGAGGTGATATATTGTAAGTTATTAGTACAATACCTTTCACCACACACGAAAGATGCAAAAGACGATTCAATTTTAATTTAATTACACGTTCATTAATTTAAATTGTTAAATGAGAAGAGAATAAAATATTACTAAATATGAATGAAAAGTAAAACATGAATGAAAAGGGTTACATGTTCTTGTTTGCATATTTGAAATGGTTCAAAATGTATTCTTTAATTTCAGAATTCAATTCAGAATTCAGAATGAGAAATTACATTATATTTCAATTGTATGATATTTTCATTTACAGTGCTATATTATTACAAACACATTTAAAATATAATAATAATAATAAATATTGTATTTTGATATAGAATTAGGTTTATTACTACTAACTTTGTTATCGGTGTGTTTTTCTTTCTGTTTATCCATGTGTGCTTACCTTTGGTTATGAAAGAGCCTGTCCGGCTGAGGGCAGAGTCCTTGCTGGAAGTGGAGTCACAGCGCAGCAGTGGCTCTGATTCGTCGGTGAAGAATCCTTTGGTGCGCTCCATGGGGGACTGCTCCACCACCACACCGGGCGACTCAAAAGGCTTATGGCTGGGGCTCAGACAATGGCTTACATTCACAGCCGTCAGTAGCTTGTTCAGGTCAACCTGCGGCAAAAGAGGTGTCACAGTATATGTTAATGACAGTGATGAGAACATCATTCTGGCACACATTTCTTTCGAGATTCTTTTTCATGCCGTTCTGAACCCACAAGTGTATCCTGTCAGGACAAACAAAGTTTTCTTGGAACAACTATTATGTGAGTAATGGGTTTGAAAGAATGAGGGTCTTTGCTGATAGACAGCGATGACTGTATTAATGTGTGGGCACTACAAGTGTATCTCTATGTGCTCATGGCCCGGATCAGCACAAAGGGTTCAGCCTTCGTAACCCTGGACCACCCACATGAGTCATTTCCCTGTTGCCCTTTGCGTCAGGGGAGGACAGATGAAAAAGATCCAGTACAGTAAGAAATTCACTGCCCACAGAGCCCATGGCCTGTGTTACGGTCACAAAACCCCCTGTCTGTGCGCAAAGCATACTTGTTATGCCAGAGTGTTGGAACATTAATGGTGCATTTCCGAGAACACTTCGAGTCACTTCAGAGGAAGTCGTTACAGTCCAGATTTTATTACCACAGTCTGGTACTGTTCTTTAGTCTGTATTGCATACTAAAGGCAAATATGGGCACCATTTTAGCAAGCTATGCATTTTAAGTGACCTTATCCACAAAACATGCCCAGTATAATCCATATGCAGGCCCAATTTTAGCCCCTTATTCTCTTTATTCTATCGATCCAATTTTATATATAAATTAAAAATAAATTCCCATCATTACAATAACATTATACCAACAATCTTTCAGTTTAATATTTGACAAAAAATTAAAAAATCTAATCCATTAAAAAAAATCTAATAATAAAATGTATAAATTATTTATCTATTTTTATTTTCATATCAGCATCAAGACTGGATTCATGCTAAAAAAAAGATATAAATATAATATAATATATAATAAGTAACAGCATAACATTACAACATTACAACAACAATCTTTCAGTTTAATATTTAACAAAAATTCTACAATTTAAAATGTTAAATAAAAACTTTGCTTAGTAACAGACAGTAAAATATGTGTAATACTCATATTGGTGACTCTTCAACTGTAA